AATTTTGGTGGAAATTAAACTTAGATTTCTTTTTCTTTTTAGCATAAACTACCCCATTTTGTCGTTTGGTTTTTATTCATCACTCGACAATTCCGACAGTTGTCAACTATAGATACAATCCTAATTATACACAGCCAATAGGTATAATACAGAAGATCTCGTGTATACTGTTCAAAAACTATTGTTTCATCGTGTTAACCCACAACAATCATAATTAAACGTAAAATATCATCAAAAACATCAAACTATGCTACTACCTAAAAAGACGTGCCTAAAGTATTTGAATTTAGGTACGCTTCTAATCGCCCTCCCCCCCCCCGTATGTTGTATGATGTTTTCTATTTATATCACCAATATCTGTACTTCTTGATTAATTAAAATAAATTCTCCCATTATCAATTAAAACACCCCTCTTTCACCACTCTCGTGAAATTTACATTGAAGTCCCCCGGACTCCTATCTATTAACTTTAGATACGGAAATCTATAATAACCATTTTGACATCATAATACGTATATATACCAACACCTTAAGCAATAAACGTGTCCAAACAATCTAGCGTTTGATAAGTTTTTATATTATATGGATAGCGTTTCGAGTACGCTCTCTCTTTAATGTTGAAGCTAAATAACGGTGTTAAATATATCGTTTTCCTCCGAGCACGAAAAATGTATTTATTTCATATATATATATACTAACTATCATTAAAACAGAAGAAATACTATATTGTATTAATATTTATAGTGCAGTACAGTTTCAATTTAAATAGGTATGTGTACAGTTATGAAAAAAAGAAACACAAATAATAACACCTCAATAAGAATTTAATTATCTCGGAATATATTAACTTTTTCAGGATTTTTTTTTATGACTTATGAAACAGGTAGCTTTATAATTTCACGTCATAATTTTTTGTCATACTTATTTTAGGGGGTGTAACTAATAACTACTTTTGGTTTTCAAATAGCAACCTATAAATAAAATTCCATAGATATGATTAATAATAATAATAATAATAATAATGTATTCGAAAGGAATAAAACTGGCAAAGCCCAATAGTATAAAGAAAACACAAGGATTATATTAAGATAGAATAAACTAAAAAAAGGAAGAAGAAATAGTAATTTTGTATAACTCAGTATCACAAATCAATATTTAGATATAAGTTTAAAATTAACGTTAAAGTTAAAAAGAAAAAATCCGCATTCGTCGAAAGTTTATTACATAAAGCCAAAACATTCAGAATAGGGGAGTATTTTAAGTAATTTGTCCTGTACATTGGTCTATAAAATAGAGGTTGAACGATTACTGTAAGCTGGGATGTAAAAGGAATATTAATTAATAAGTCAGATAGATGACGTTTTAATTATAATACATTTTGACGTTGACATTTTCAATTTCCGTCGAATCGTTGACGAGACTTTCCATTTTTATGTTTGGGTATTTGATCATGAAAAGTGGATAATGGCTTCACCCCTAAAAAAAATTCAAACCCGTTTATCTCTAAATTAATCTAAAAATAAAACAAATTCCAGAAAAAATACTTAAATACTTTCTCCTAGGTAATTACTGTCTTATCCAGGATTTAACACACTGTGTAATAGTTTTAGTGGCGTGACCGTTATAGGAAAGGTGGCACGGAGGCCTTGTAAAAAAAGTATTGAAAATACCATAATCGTTACATTCTTATAGTTTATTTTCATATATACATATATATATATACATATAAGTTAGCAGTTATGTATCTAGTGGGAGAGGGCACGTTACCCCAAAAAAATTATTCATTTTATTCACTACTTCTGGGTTATATTTTCCTAACCAAGTATAAGTAGTATACCTTTCAATGTAATCAGGGAAATAACAACGTTAACAATGAAACGTGTAATTTTGAGTACGTATTTTTTTTTTATTTCACCCTCGACCCTCGGTTGAGAAATCCTGACTATGCCACTGATAGAACAACACTATGTAGAATGGCTTCGTGGAAGAAAATGTATTCAAATGAAGTGCGATTTAAGAGCTTAAATAAACGCGCCTTTCAATAGTGGTGCTCGCGTGAGTATCGTGGGTGTCGTTTTCCGTTTCGGAACGAAAAGAAAAAAAACCAACTTACGTAACACGTATAATATTGCATAATATGGAAATCAACAACTGACGATTGCTTAATAACAAACATAATTATATAAAGTCGGCAACAACGTGGTGAATAATAATGTATTCAATTATAACGCTGGTTTTCGATACGATGATAATAATATTAGCAATCACAAATTTTCGCGGCAAACGACAATCTTCCGCGGACCGGTCAGAAAATAATTCAAAATAAATTGATCTTCTATAGCTGCAAAATTAATTGACAAAAAAATTAAAAAAAATGCATTTTCAAAACATGCCAGATTTCCAAATGTTCAGTTTGAGCAAAAAAAATATACTTAAAATTCCAAAACAAGTGCTGAATGTAATACGAATTCAAAAATACGATAAACTTACAAAAACGGAAATTATTAAACAAATTTAAAAAAAAAAGAAGGAATACTACCATTACTATGTAGATAATTCCGTTTACGGTTAGAGAACTACAAATAAAATCGAAAAAATAGGCTCCTTAATTACACCAACCAAACCAATTTTCTACCAATAACCACAGCTGAAAAAATTGATAATCGGGCCAATATTGATCGGAATATTTTTACAGACGTACACCAAAAAAAAAAAAATAATAAAAATAGCACACACAATACTAAATGAAAATACGTTCCTCGCTATACGCTTAGATTTTAATTTTACAATATTTTAAACATAATATAAAAGATCGTGAACAGGGCCCATATTCATACTTGAAATGATCAAGCTAGTAGATGGGCAAATTCATCAATATATTTATCTAGCTTAAATATTGTGATATTAAAAATTTAATTTTCAACTATTGTTACTGCCCAGTTTACGTTCGACAAGTTGGCACTGTCCCATTTTGTTATAACTTCGAAAATAGGTTCATAATTTTTGCTACATTATGCTGTAAGACATATTCAGAAAAATGTGCACAAGTATTTTTTTACTAGTTTCGGACAAAATCCCCCCCGGTGCTGGCCCATTTTTCTCGGGTTTTGGGAAAACAAGGTTGTAGCGAGTTGTAACAAATTGATAATCTCATTATCAAAGTTGTATAAAATGTCCCAAAGCCAACTTGACGGCATGCCCAGTTTTGATAAATGTATTAAATATAATGTATTGGTTTATTCGATAAACGAGAGGTGTTTTTTTTTTTTTGTTTGCCTAATTGAGCAATAACGAAAACGTATGATTTCATCATAGCATCGTGCACTCGCGATTTATAATCAAGGCACGGTCTCTTTTTTTTTCTATGTACTCGATAAACTTTGGATGTTATCGAAAGTTATAGCGTTGAAAATATTATTATATATGATAAAAATAAATAGTTAAGTAATTAAAATAATATGTGTAATATCCGAATATTATTACGTCATTCACTCGGAATATGTTTTGCTAATTCGCTGCACCGAAAACGAAAATAAGAATGTATTACAAATATTTGTCGCGTTATTTCGTCCTTTTTTATAGATTCTAAGGGAAATATACGTTTTTTACGCGTCCGATATCGATTTTTTCTATCTGAAGACATATTATTGCTCCCAACTCGTATAATATACATAACGAAAGAAAAGCTGTCGGAAGAATGTATCGTAATAGATTTTTTTAAGGTTTTTTTTTTTTGTTATTCTGTTTATTCGTTTTTATGAAATTTCAATTACTTTTTAGTTGTATTTGTAATTCATATTTCACGAGCTCGTATGAAAATCACAAAAATCAAACATTATTTTTTAGTTTACAACGTATAAAAAATTAGCAATGAAAAGTTTTTGTAATCGAGCTCTTCTCGGAATCAGAATTTTTTGTCGAATTTTATCGATTGTGTCTTTTTTGTAGGTACTAATTTTAAACTAAATATGCTTAAATTTAAGTAGTAGAATTATTTCATAAGTCGATTGATGGGATAAAATTTGGGTTAATCTTTAATAATTATTATGAATTTTAGGGAGAGAATAATGTATTTCTAGCTTTGAAAGTGTCTACAGATACCTCAAATTATAGGAATGCAATTTTGTAATATATTTTTAATGTATTGCGTTAGTGCCAAGGTTATGCCTTTTGAGTTTTAAAATTTTCACATCACATTCACATCCATTTAAAATGCTGACATTTTGCCTTTTTTTAGAGCATCATAGTATAGTATATTGGTGTATTTAGTATTTTTTGCTTTAGCGATTACCTCAAAAAACCTATGACATTTTAAATATAACCTATAGAATGTATATTTTTCAATATTATTTTTTATAGTCATTATTTTACTATAGCTACTACAGTGAAAGCACTGTCCACCAGTAATCAAAATCTTGAATATTTTCCTCCCATTTTGTCCCTTCCTATTACTATATAGATCTCGCTAGAGCCACTGAAAGAGTACAAATAGTCTCTGTTTTCGGAGGAAATTTAGTCTAAAAAAAATAAAATATGTAAACACTTTGTTCGGACAACGCCGAGAATATTTTTATTTTTAAATTTATTTTATCTCCGTTTATATTCTAATCGTCGAGCGTCATCGTGAGAACACCACGGCACGTTGCTTGGTAAATGTTTTATTTTATCGTTTGTTATCGATATAACAAATTTAATACCGATAAATTATGTTTCGACGACGACGATTTCGCATTCAACAACAGCTGGGCGAAGGTATTTGTTAGTTTTGTTTTATTGAATTAGATAGACAAAAAAACTCGTAATACAACATAAATGTATACAGTATAAATAATACTTTTTAAGAGTATGTCCATTGGCGAAATTAAAATCGACCGATCAATTGACGCATCAGTACCTCTTTGAACTATTTCGTTCGGTTAATAATACAACATAATGAACAAGTTCCGGGAAAATATCAAGTACTTAATCCCGAAACCGATAACACCCGTTATCAAACACCGATGCACTGTTCCGTTTTCACGAATTCAGTGAAGAGAGTGTACAATTCGATCAAAGATTACCACCAAACACAAAAACTGATGGGTTACGCCGAAGTTCAACTCGACCCGCTGAAAAAAAACGGCAGACAAGTGATTAGACTGTTTTTCAGTTAGATAATAATTATTAATAATTTGGTAATCTATACCTACATAATACAGGGGGAATCGTTTAACGTAAAACACTCATTTAACTCACATTTAATGTTTTCCACAAAAAAAAAATTGTTTCAAAAATTTAAAAAACAAGCTGGTAAAATAGTCAAGTGTGACAAAAATTAACTAAGAGTTCTGAAGCAGATCGGACTGCATGAATCGAGACCAAAAAAAAAAAATATGTTTTTTTTTTCTGGTATCAATAATAACCCAGAATATTATGGGCATTGGAAGAATGCGGTCTTTGTCCAACCAAGAAGACTAAAAAAGCGATTACATTACCGTTCTGAATAATATTGGCCTAGAACCTACATACGAACGCAAAAATGTATGCGATTCAAACTAATTGCTGGTTTTATATAGATTTAACATAAAAGTAACCGAAAAAATTATGGTTAAAAACATATTATGTTTTTCCAATTATTATTTTTCGGAGGAATTGCGAAATTAAAATGCGAACACCAACGATTTTATTTTTTTTGTAATATATTCATATAATTGAATCTCACGAAATTATAAAATAACACTTAGGGACCTTGTAATATACAGATTATTCACGATATTTTTTTAATCAAAACTGTTACAATACACATTTTACATAGGTACAATAAAGCAATATTATCAAATATTACGTTTGTTCTGAAAATTAGTGAAATATGTATATTTTTTTTTTAAAATGGTTATTATTTTATGTGTGTTTAAGAATTATCGAAAAACGTCCATTTTGGTCATCGAAATGTACAAGTAAACAGAGACGGCCCGACAAAAGGACAAAGAACGGATGCGGTCGATAAAGCCACTATTGAGGAACGAGAAGAACTTCGACGTAACACGTAACCGATCTGCTTTCCATTGGAAGTCTTTCGAATCCACGTAAACGGATAAGTGGTGGTTTGATAACAGGTGTTATCGATATCGGGATCAAGTAACAACAAGCGGGAACAAACGCTGGTTTGGTTGTATTTTGTTAAATGTACTAAACTGTATTTATTAATTTTTAATGACAATAAAGACAAATGCACAATTGTTTTTCATATTATAGCATTATAATTTATAAATTAGTGGCTGTGGTAAATTTATTTAGTTTTGATAACAATTATCATTATTACTATTTTTTTTTATAGATTTGTAAACGGTATCGGTTGACACAGGAATTTGATTATTGAATTTACAGGTATTTTTAAGAAAAAAACCGATTTTTATATCGCCAGTAATCAGTGGAATATATATTTATGCGTTTTGTTAAAAATGTTTGTTTAAAATACACCAATTTCGGTTTTATTAATTTAATTAGGTGCTAAAAAGGTTATCTTGAAAATTACTTATTTAGCTATTCCGTACATCTTTCTCTCATGTATATTACTAACCTAAGTAAGTACGGATAACTTAATATTCAATATCGATTAAGAATATCCTGCACAGGTATAAAACCTAGTTCAATATAATTTCAGGTTTTTTTTTTGTTTTAATTTTATAAACTTATCGGTAATATACTAATGTTTAATACCAATATCAATTAAGCTAGGTAATGTTGGGAAATGTTTAAATTCGTATAATATATAAGTATACAATTAAAAATAAAGGCCATAATATTTACGATTTTCGTCAAAATTGTATATTGTCTGCGATTTGTCTTGTGTATTGTGATGACAAATCATAATATCATATTAGTTCGGCGTTGCATCGATATTATTAAATTACGATAATGAAAGAAATTTTGATATTCAACCCTGTGCAATGGTATTCTCTGGTTATTTATATATTATTAACCGCAATACCGATACTGTGACGTGAAACCAGTACGAATTTACAGTTATTAATGTGAGGGCCGGTCAAATAAAATTTCCCCGGGTCGACTTTAGTCCGCGGTCCGCCGCTGCAGCATAGCGACGGAAAATACACGATGGTATTATCGATGATATTAAAACTCGATCCAAAGATTCTGGTGTACAATATTATAGATACACCGGGTATATAGAACACGTGTTACGGTGCACGCAAAATATACGAAAACCGTCGCCGTCACTCGGATTTCCCCGGAAGAAACACGTCTGGCGCCGTTTGACGCCAACCGTAATACGTTATTGTGTATAATATTGTTATTATATTGCTATAAAATAACTGTTTTGGTATAACATTATGTACTTGTACATTATAACCGTGTCGTTCGGATTTTACACGTGCAAAGTCAATGCGGTTACGATAATATACGGTACCGTTAGATATATAGGTATACCGCGATACACCTCCCCGGCGATTTTCAAACGCGTCGCGTCGTGCAGCAGTAGGTATACGACACAGCACGAGTGCGTAATATGTATATTTTATAGGCACTTACATACGGGGGCAGCGGGGGGGGGGGCGAGGCGAGGCGGTCGATAGAACCTCGAAAAAAAAATAAATTAATAATAAAAAAAATTTACCCGGCGCAGTCGTTGCGGTCGCCTGTATAATAATATATAATATATATAACCCGAGTCGATTGCGGGCCGCACGAGAAAAACGACAAGAACCACGGGGCCGTATACTTCCGCAGACGAATAGTCACGAGAGTGTTGTTCTAATATCGTAGTTTTTTCTTTTTAAATTTTTTTTTCAGTTTGACCCGCGCACTTCCGAAAAAAACATCTTCAAAAAAAAAAAAAAAAACAAACTAGATTTCGACAAATAACGTCGTCGTTGTGTAAATAACATTTTCTATCCAAAACGATAAAGTACTTCGGGTGTGCTCTCGTGTGATAATCGATTCAAGTTTTTCGTTTTTCAAGCAGACATGTATAGTGTATATGCTTACACCTCGATTTATATTATTAATGGGAAAATCGTATAATTACTATAAATAATACAAAATATTTCTACATGAATATGTCTCATCGAATTATATCAGAGACGAATGCAGTAAACAATTTGGGAGGGGAGGGATTTAATGTATCTTATCTATGAATATTTGTAGAATAATATTATATTTAATATTTTAGATTCTGATTGGAGCGAAGAAGCGTATATTATAGTTTTAATATGATGTTTATTATTATATTTATATTCCCAATATATGGGAAAAAGGTCAAAAAACGGGAAAATATGTATAATATTATTAAAGAAAATATATAGATAATGCATATGTAATTATTTTACCATAACATTCATAGGCAGACAATAATAATAATAATAAAAATATAACATATATATTATTGATAAAATAACACTATCAACTAAACTCTGATCAGAATCGTTTTTTCGTTATCAATGGTTAGGTTCATTGCTTACAGATATATTATATTAAATTAACTATAATAATGGCTGCAGCCATCTCCATTATCCTAGGAGAGCTTTTTTTTTTTTCATTGTATGAATTAACAAATTTAGAGTAGGTACTATTTATGTTACGGACAGGGGAGTGGTTAATAGTCAAACTTCCCTCTCTGCGTTCACACCGTTATTATGTTTTTTTATTGCGAATAATATTATTATATTGAAATAAATAAAAAACTAACGTATAAGTCCGGAATCCACGAGTGATCTCGTATGTAAAAATCGACATTTGAAAATCCGACTTTCAGATATCACTCGGTTTCAAAGTATCTAGAGATTTTAACCGAAACCTTGTATTCCTACAAATTGTAGTCATCGAGGTTTTTAATTTTAAACTTTATCGATAGTCTTGAAAATAATTTTATCAGTACTGCTCGGAGCATTTTTACTAATCGAAAAGGTGTTTGCCCAGAAAACAAAATATACATACACTCTCATCTAAGAGCACCGCTCAGAGTAAAAAAATCCATACGAAAAAAAAAACTCATTTATATACAATTTGTACAATGTGCGGTATTCCGTATATATACTTACATAAATAACGAGAACGCCGTCGGGCGGGCGTCACGAGTTTCCACGGTTTTCACGTTTCCACGCGGTTTTGTCGTGACTTTCTTCTTCGTTATTCCTCGTGCGCCATTAGCGTTCTATATAAATACTATTAAACTAGTTAATCTCGGGTACTCCGTTTGCCCGTTAATTTTACAAATCCGTTGTGCGGTAAAAAAAAAAAAAAATTAAAAGAAACCCATAATAATAAAAATCTTAACTGTAAATCCGATTTTTGTCAGTGCTCTTTTTGCCACATTTTATTAAAATTTTGGCCCGCTTTACCGATGACCAGTCGGGGAAGAGCCGACCACCATACACCGCAACTCTAACCAAAATATATTGCAATAATATCGTCCGATTTATAAAATGAAAATTAATTTAAGATAGAAAAAAAAACCTCCCATAGGTACAACGTTTCTTTGACAGCCTTCCGCCCGCAGCCGTACGCGGACCCGAGTCAGCCCTGAACCCGATGAACTCAGCTCGATACGAACACAACATGTAGGTTGGAGCTCGTGTAACGAGCCGGCGAGTGTTTCACCGTGTATTTAATATAATTTAGAGCAATTTATATTTTTTTATCATAACAAAACAATATGCAAATCACAGCTTTCGTCGCCACCGTACAATATGCAGTGAAAACACGTCACGCCCGCGACCAGCTATAATAATTATAATGCAATAGGTATAGTGCTGTAACAATATTACAATATCGCGAGCGCAGCGATACGCCGATCATTGTGACATATATTTTTATTTCAAGATCAATTCGGAACAGTGTTTCAAATTTGAGAACCATATTTTACTGATACAGTATATTTATAGATATAGTTATAGTTCAAATTAATGAATAATATGAGATAATAAAACAAATAATTTTTTTTTTAAATACAGCTTTATTTGAGAACTCTTCTAGTTTACATTCAAAACATAATGTTTTAGAAACAATGTTTATAAGTTTATTATAAAATAGAAATATGACTATTATAAGTCATATTTCTATACTTATTTAATATTATAAAAACCGTATTCTAGATAATTCAATTGAACTCTTAACAATAATAATAATAATATATTTTCAATAACAGTATCTTTATCAAATACAGAGTTCCAATGTTGTTTTTGTTATTATTCGATTGAAAATATTCTTAGAGAAAATCATCATTGAAATCGAATACATAAGTATATGAAATATAATGAATTGTTTACTTTATTTAATATTTGGGTACTCATTTACATAATACAGTGGTTTGAGTAGTTTTCGTTTTAAACAGGAAAATGTATGCGTTCGGATTTTTTTTCTATACATAAATATATTAATTAAATAGATACCAATATTTTAAATTGTTGACTTTTTTGACTAAAACGTAAATAAATTGGAATTTAAAAAACAAACGGAAATATTTCGCACGATAATGGGCCACTGTTTTTAGTGAGAAGTTGGGAAGGTAGAGCAGAAATTTAGTGTATATTCAGTGGCGTATTTATTGGAGGGTCACAAAGAGCCCGTGTCTACCCTTATTGGTGATACTAGTGTATATATTTTAATAACTATTATAGCAACTACAGATATGTATAACCTTACGTAATATACACATTATTGTAGGATTTGTACAAAATCTTCATGATTTAAAAGTACCTACAACTAACAAAGTGTACATGATATCACAATAAACATTTTTCGGAACAAAAGTTTTTTGGTACAGGTAGGTACAAAGTTTTTGTAAAAAAAATGTAACGTTTCGCTGTTAATAATGTAATATTATTTGAGATTACAGATTATAATATTGTAGCGGGCAATTATTAACATTGATGTACGCCAATATTTTTTTATTTTTAAACGTATTACAGTAATAGGTAGAGTGTAAAGAATTTTTTTTTAATAAATTGAACACAAATAAATATATAAACAACATATGTACCTATTATTACAGAAACTGTAAATGTTTAAACTGTCGATTATTTATTTGTTT